TGGCCAAATGTATATATTTTTTAATTTCCAGAAATCTATTTCTGGACATCGAATTTGACACAAAAGGTACTCTCAAATCTTCATCGAGACTCCAATAATTTCGCTCACTTGGTAACTTGTGGTAACCCGTTAGTAGCAGGATTGAAATGAAAATTTGTATGTCAGCCTTGGAAACAAAAAAATCATGCTTATTTTTTTGTGAGGAATACAAATTAGTTTGTTGAACTATATGATCAAGTACTTCCTGATCAAATAACTTCTCAAACACTTCAATGGGACTCAAGTGTTCTAAATCGTGTTTCACTACCTCTACGCGATCTTCAAATCCGCAGGTCGATGGCATACTGGTATCAACAACGTCTTTTGTCCACTTTGGCTCTAATAGGTTTCTTCTTTTGGTTTTTGTAGCGAGGGATTTCTCAGACGTTATGTTTTGTCGCAAAATTGATAAGGGTAAATTAGACTCCTCATCACTGGTTTCAATGTCACTATCCATATGTTGTAGCTCAATTTCACCTGCGACATCATTCGGCATTGAGAATTCTTGAATGTTATTATCATCAAATTCCTCTTCATCTGTCTGTTCATCCACATTCGGAGGAATAATAACAATGTCTATTTCGTTCTGGTTATCCGAAGAAGAAATATCTTCTAAAGCAGGATTCAGATGACAATAACTTCTTCTGCCATAAAAGCGAAGTGATGATATTCCAGGAAAATCTACAGGTTCCATCAGGAACTGTGAAAAGAAGGACATAAGAGTTCCAAAATATGAAAAAAGTTACTTTGAGAATGAAAAACATTACCTTTGGTAAATGACTGACTTTAGCCCAATGTACTCATATGAGTACACATAAAATTGTTTACTTACCAGCTTTTAGTAAACGATTATACTGTTGCAACTTCTTATAATATAACACCACTATACCTAAATAAGGCCGTATAAATCAACTCCAAGCTTATAAACCAAAGGTATATGAATATTTTACGTCACTTATAACAAGCGTGTACTACTAAATCCGAAAAGCACGTGTTATTGAATTTGAAACATGTGATTTAACTCTACCGGCAACGTATTGCAACGTTTTAACTGATTCAGGTTAAAGAATGCACTTGAAAGCAAACTTTTGCATACTTGTAGTAATGTAAAAAAAGTCAACAGATGGGGTGTCTATGACCTTTTTGGCACTGTACTCAATTAAGTACAGTGGGCGTTAATGGGTTAAGTAGTATTTCCAAGTCTAATAAATCATGTAGAAAATGTAGGATATCAGTATTCGGTCTCTAATACTAATTAAAAGCATTACCAAAATACCAACCTTGTGTTGAAGAAAAAGGAAGTGACGTTCCTATTAAAGAGTCCTTTTTTATAGGTTTTGCCGTAATTCCGCATTCCTTCAATAGTCGATTTATTACATTTACGATACTTTCGCGGCTTCGCCAACTGGTAATGAAAATTACCAACTCTTGTCAAAATTGCCAACTAGTTAAGTATTGGAGGGGCAACCTGCCCCCCCCCTTGCCCCCCCCCCCATAGGTCCGTCACTGAACTTAACCATGATACTTTGATTTAAATTCGTGCGTTCTTTATTAAGCGGCAGAGCAAAGCGATACAAGCTTTACAGGGGTGTCCATGGTGTCCGTCTGTCCGTATACACGGCAACTGTCAAACGCTTGGACCGATTTGGTTCAAACTTTGCACAGTTAACATATATACCACATGTAACAATGCAATTGAAAATGGTTCAAATCCAATGACTCCGTGAAGTCACATCGAGGTGCTCTGCCGCTTTTTTAGACGCTCTTTATGAGTTTATTATGAATTTGGGAGGTAATAATTTGCTCACAGCTTCTTCAACGGCATTTAGACAATTCAATAACATTTTTCCGCGATCGATTTTTTACAATCAAACAATATTTCTCTTTCAGATTTGCACTTTGTCATTTAAATTGCTGCTGGAGTCAAACAATACCACATACAGGTACCTGCCATAGGAATACATTAGGTAGCTCCTGAGTCCTGATCCCTCTGGCATTTCTACTACACCTTCGGGATTATGACATACACATAAGGTTTTGCAATTGAACCTTCATAAGCTTTTTCTGTAGCTGTTGAGTGTACCTACTATGTGTACTTATGATACACTAATTAGAAGTTGCACTAAAAACAAATTCAGTATACGCACTTACAGAATAAATGCAATAAATTCACAGACTAAGAACGATTACGCAATAACCCTCGGTAGTACAGTGGTAAGTACGACCCGCATGATTGCATCATTTGGGCGACCGAGGTTCGATTCCTCGCCGAAGGGAATTTTTTTAAATGAAATATCGAAAAAAATGTACATCACTTTCTCAGATGTTATAAAATGAGTACTCTTCTCTCAGGTGCAATGATCGATTATACGCTGCCATTCGTGTCCGCACAATAATTGAATAGCAATACCAAAGCGCATTGATTAATGTTACTCGGCTCATTAAACTCTTCTTAAAGGATTCTTGCAGTTAAACTTTTTTCATACCACGAATGTGAATTCTAATTTATGTACGTCAAATAATGGCACTCCGTAGGAGGCTTCTTTTTATATTTTATATAGCAAAAAGAGTTCTTAGAACCACCAACGCCATTGTAACTTCGCGAACAGGTTTTTTTTTCTTTTAGAAATGCATCACACTCCACGATACATTAACAAACGGTTGTGGCAAATTTACAATTTCGCAATTCACCTTTACAATTATTGCAGAGAGGAGGGACGCCTAATTCAATAATTACGCACTAATTAAATTCGAAATTATAAATAACAGTGATTTAATTGGCAACGGTTCCAAAAAGTTAGACAATGCTCTTATTATCAGGTTATCTCTTAAAGAATGCATAAAACGAAACGAGTTTTGCATATAAGTGAAACATTTTTTTTTCCAACTGGTTTGGTGTGCATATAAGTAGGAGGGTTACTTGATGACCTTCTCTGGCTTTACCTTTGGAATTTTGATGTCTCAACGAGGCTGTGCACACGCCTACCAATTTTTGCTTGCATTTCGTAATAAATGTCTACTACATGTGTAGCTGTGTAATTGTTCGCCATTCCGCAATAAACCAGGTGATATGGGGCGGATAATCTATAATCTTACTTTAGGACTATGTTACTCGGCCATTCACTTAACACAGGTTACACAGCTATGAGCTAGGGCACAACCATAAGGGGAATTTTACTGTTAATCCCACACTGTATGACGTGATTTGTTTTTAAGGTTCCTATGACCACTCATAAGTATATCGGAAAACTACAGCGGCGTTCTATGAAATGCTGATTTTATAGTTGAATGTTTTAGGTCTAAGAAATTATCGATAGAGGATATTGTTTGCAATAAGCTGAATAACGAACCGTCTATTAAGAATCATCTAAAAATAGGTTAAGTACCCGATCCTTAAAAATCAATTCAGAATGTAATGTTAGGTAACTCAAATCGCGCTCTAAACGCCTCGGGCCAAGATCTCATTCAATTAAAGGAAATACAAAAGAAACCACCTGGATGTATGTTATCCATTACATTGTTTCTAATGACCTTGGTAATTTATTAGTGCTAATATTTAGTAAAATGCGACTAATTAAATTTTCTTAATTTTACGGTTATCGGTATGTACAGGGTGTCCCATTAATAATGGTAACAGACCATATCTATGGAACAGTTAATTGCACATCTTCGGGAAAAAAATTTTGATAACAAAAGGAGCCAAGAGAAATCGCTGGAAATTATTTTTAAGTTTCTAACTTCGCGGCTAGAGGGCGTACGATTCATGATTAAGTAGAAAAATTACTTTTTTTCTAAAATATACCCAACAAACATGTATAAAAAATGGTAACTCTGGAACCGTGTTTGTTGTGTGGTTGGCCACCAGGAGTCCAGGAATGGTAAAGATCCTTGCATCGTAGGTAATGTAGTGGCAGTTTAAAGATTCAACTGGTGCAGGATAAACGATTGAATCATGTTTTAGGTTTCCTCTGTAGGTTGTTCAAGCGGTGCCGCTTCTACCGAGGTAACATTCGGCTCACTTCTGTTACCGTTTTAAGTTCAGCACTTCTAATCTGGGTAGGTAGGGAACGGGCGTTCCGGTCTTAATAAGACCCTGTTTGCAATTTTTTCTTCTTCAATCAGGCACGGTACGTATAGGCGAGAATTTAGTATTGTAAGAGTGGTTTCTTCCGGTCTAAGCTATGAACTTCTTTGAGGTTGCTGGATTTTTTTTTAAATTTTTTCCCGATTTTTTATTTGGGCGAAAGGTTCCTGAGTACAATTCTGTGTAGTTAAAAGCGTACGAAAGTTGGGAAAGTCACGAAATGAACTAGAATTACGTGACTATCCTGCTGATGGTAGGTTGAGCCTGAGACGTACCGTGGTATGTTTTGCTGCGGTAATGGGAAGTCCACGTGAGTTTGATGGGAAATGTGTGTTTGGGTTTCAAGGGTTTCATTGGTTGAGAGGAAGCTAGCTTATTGGTGGAAAGAGTTATGCATCAAGGAATGGGCGTGAATCAAAAATTAAAATCAGGGGGTAGACTCGCGTCGATCAGCTTAAGCTTCGGTTTGTTAGAACTGTTATTGTAGGCGACTAAGCAAACGCGCCTCGCATCTACGTTGAAATCTAGCAGAGAAGATGCGTAGCCGGTTTTATAAAGTGCATAACGTAATCAGTCACACGACTGTCGCTATTTATGCACAGATAACAGATTTTTTTTTGCTTACCGGCGGATTACGCAATTTTGTGTAATCGCGTGGGAATTGCAAAAACAAGAGCGGCATTCATTTGCGAGGTCCAGGATCGATTTTCTCGTCATCCGTCGTGGATCGTCAAACTAGACAGTAACCAGCCTCAGGGGCAGCATTAATATAAGTGCAAATCTGTTATGGAAATTCATTCATTTTACGGACTATGCCTAGCAAGTTTCAAGGCCATCCTTGCTAAAAAATCAGTGTATCGTTCATCTGTCAATTGAACCAAGATTACTCAATCGTTACCTCAATTTCTGTCATTTTTCATTTTCGTTCAACGCAATAGTTTGCCATCCTGTATCACGTGTGGTGAGTCTAGATGAGTCTACTTAAGCATCGAATAAAATTTGGGTACGTAGTTCTCCTGTTGTGATAATTATCGCTGACTGTATGTTTAATTGTTGTTGCGATTACTAATGAAAATCGTTTGATTGTATTTTTAGTTTTGAGCAATAAAAAATGTATAAAAGAGAACGTTGGTTGGCTTCTGATAAAGGAGAGACCGAGGTTAAAGGCGAAGAAGGATGCGAATCTGCAAACATAGGGGATGCTAATTTTACAGCGTTTAACATGCAGGAGGAACTGGAAGAGGGCCACTTCGACACTGATGGTTACTTCATATGGAAGAACGATATGGGGGTTAGAGACAATTGGTTGGAAAATATCGATTGGGAGAAGGTTAAGTCAATTTCAAAGACTATTACCGTTCTAGAAGAGGATGACGATTCTTATGTTGAACAATTTCAAGAAATTCAAATATATAAACAAATTATTACGTATTTGGATCCAAACGAAACCATTAGTCAAGCACTTAGGCGTTGGGGAACTCGAAACAGAAATCTATCGAGCATCGAAAGGCTTACACTCAAAAAGACACGCACTCTTGATCCAAATACTGAAGTCACCAAACTAACTGAACTGGCCAATAAAATTTTAAATGAGACTGGGAATATGGATATTTACCAAGAAACTTACGAAATGATCAATCGCAAAATAGAGGCCTCTGAAAGTAAGCAATTAAAATCTGCAAAGGAACCCTGCTTAGATATGTACGCCGATGATTTTGATAAAAAAGAAGCTGAGAACTTAAAGAAGAACTCCAATATGGAAATATAAGTAAATTTAAATCCTTTTTGTATTTTCGTGCATTTATGTCATCTTACTAAGTAAACATTTACTTTTATGATCGACATCTTTATCACGAGTGTGGAAATCAGGAGAGATTAGATTAAGTTTTGTTTAGCCCATTTGAAAAACCAGCTAAGATTAAAAGTTATTTTAAAAAACTGACAGGTGCCGATTTGCGAAAAACTAATATCAATAATGATGAGTATTTTTTTGAATCCTCTGAAATTCTTGGAATCCTCAACATTTTTGTAATACTTGGATGAAGTCTATTGATTTTTTGAAATTTTTAGAGTTCTTGGAATTTAACAAATCTTCTTAGACCCTCGCTTAGACCTTGCTTGTAGCTAAGTACATGCTGTATAACAAGTTGCTGCATTTAGTGCGAATGAGGGAAAATTCTTTCCGAAAGAGTCAGGAATATTTTTTGTAACGAATTAGGTTGAAAAGGCCAAACATAACATTTTAGAATTATAGTTTTTTTGTAATCATAAATTGGGAACAGAATTGTGTAGCTACTCGCTAGAATAGCACTGGCCACATATTAACCCATTGAACATCTTGTGTGCTAATGAATGCGTTTTGCTTTAAATGAATTTTATTAGCTATTACTAGTCGCGTAATTGCACTTGCAACGGATGTTACAAATTTTCTTCTTCTCCTGCTTCTTCTGGTTGCCTAAATTGGGTGTGGTTCTTGATGCGCAATCATATTAATATGTCTCGGCTGCTCGTCGGTTAATAACCCTCTTCTGGCCTCAAGGATTCGCTGGAAAACGCAAGGCTCGGCTGCGCAAGACAACTGGCGCAGGTTTTGCGTCTGAGTTTGAGACTGATCGTGAAATCACTTATATTTATATCCCTTCTCTCAGTATCCACTGTAATTAAGTTCCGCCTATCTCGCTACGACGAAGGTTTACAAGTTTCTGCGGACTTTTACGGGGTTCTGTCAATTCGACGTACTGAATATACCTATTTAAAAGAACTCTCCTTGCGGTTATTTTATATAATGACTACTTTAACTTACCTCATTGCGAATATACATACGTAAAGCAGTATTTATGATCCTATTTCGTTTACATGTGTGATGTGACACAAAATTGCCAAGAAAATTGTATTTCTAACTGCGATTATTATTTTACATCGCCAATTCCGTTTTAGCTTCTTGGTGGCGCGCTTGCGCGTTAAGTCTGGACGCGTATTTTTCCACCACTTGGTCTGAACTTTTTACCAACTAAAAGAACTTCCTCGATACGCTTGACGCGACCGTGCTCACGGAGCAAAGCGTAATACCTCACGACTAACCCACCATTACGCTTACCGAACGTTTGGATCAAATGGCTAGAAACCCACAATTGATCAATTTCCCATAGACTCGGCAAAAACAAAAATGCTACCCAACACCCTGATGATGAACGGATCTGGCTTAGCAGGATTGTCATCGAATTCTAGTTAATTTTATCTTGTGTCCTGACAATTTGGCGTCGCGAACTTTCGCACGCACTTAAACTCAGGGCTGTGACATTACAGTGTAATCCTTAATTTCAAAAAAGGTAAACCTACCCTGATCAAGAAAGATAAAATAATCTTTTGGTTTTTAATGTACGCACTCATTTTGGTAAGCTTAAATTAAAAACCTTGTTTGTTAATCTGTGTACCTAGTGGTTTCATTATTATCTTTGAATGTTTGGAAAATGTCCGTTTTATTGTCCAAAGGAAATCAAATAGATCTGTATTGTGTTTACATCATTAATTTTGTAAACACTGCTTACGTAAAGTAGGTGTCCTTGCTCTTACCTGAGATTAGTGGGTATTCATATTGGTAAACAATTAAGCGTCCCACTGTACGATATAAATAATCATTTTTAGTTAGGTGGGTTTCGATCTACATAATAAATGTGTGCAATGAATTGAATTAGGTAATTTGAGCGAGCAACAGTTATCCCATCGTTACATTGTCGGCTAATTTTACAACACATAATAATTTTCCCAACTTTGATTTCTCCGTGAAACTATAACTTAATTATTCTGCGTGGCACAATTTGTTTTTTAAATATGTGGTTATATACCAGTCACCTTGTAACTACTTAAGTGTAAGACACTCAGTCTTCCGGTTTCATTTACATGTTAACCCACATATTAATATTGCAACATAATAAATATTAATATATTCGAATTCTTATTACATTTCCTACAACACGTTTCAACTTTTATTTTTTAATTACATCTTTTACGATCGGAACAATTAATATCTGCACTGTACGTTTAATTTCAAATGCAATATCTAATCTAAACAATGCGAGCATAAAATCCTAACACGAGTGAAAAATTACTGCGCTACGCTTTAAACCATTAAGTGCACGCAGTATCGCATAGGTAATGGAAAAGTAACTAATCTTCTTTGAAGATTGCGGAAGATCTAATTTGGTTGTGTCTATAATATTCAAGAATCCCTTTCGTCATACTGTAATATGTAGTATTTGAGTCGAATGGGTCAATTCACATCCACCAAGCCATTTACGTTAGTTGAGCTCTTCTTGCCAAACTTCACTGCTAGCAGACTTACAGAGTATTGTGGAATGAAATGACATGATATCTATTTGTTTAATTTTATTTGTTATCAGTAAATATGATAATGTTTCATATTATGTTAAAGTCGATTATCACACAAATAGACCCACATATTAACCAGATGAAAAGTTAATTAGAGGCTACCTCTTCTCGTATTGCTAGGACACAAAGCTGCAGTCTATACGAGATATGAAAGAAACAGATACAGCGAAGAATCGGAACAGCAGTAGATAGGTACTTCCTCCACGGTCTAAACTAAAGGGTTAATAGAATCATACAAGGCAAAAACACACTGAGTATTTCCTCATGAATACATAAAGGAAAACTTAATGAAATAATATAAAGATACAACCACTTCATAACAAAAAACAACTGTGCATGGGAACTACACACGACGGAAGTGATACTTCTCCGTGCAGGTATGAGGAGTGGGGGAACCCCTGCTCTCTGGGTCAAAATTTAACGTACAGACGACCTGCGTTAAGCTGAAGCATTAGACGAATGCGCGTTGAACAGCAAATATACCCACTGGTGGCGTTACTTGTAGAAATTTAGCCAATGGTGGCCGAAAAACATGAATATGCAGCTGTGCGCTAGCGGTTCGCTTGTACACGTGAAAAACGTGTGCAAATCCCATTTTCATATTTATTGACGGATTTTTCTAAAATTGTAAGCAAAAAAATTAATTAAACGTACATAAAAATAGCTTCAGACCATTGAATAATAAATCTGAATAGAAAGACAACGCAATGCTTTTTGAAGGGTCCACTTTAACGGAGTTTCTCCGTAGGTTGCCCTCTGGGACAAACTCCGCTTATTAAAAGTAACTAAATTTTAATCGAGGTTTTATACCACCTACTCAACTGAATCAAAGAGATTAGATTTCTTTAGATGACGCTACTTTCGCGTACTTATCTCGTAGACTGCGTGGGAGTTATAACAGCAGGTGAAGATCGTATTGCAATATTATCTCTGTATTTACAAACTTATGCTTACGTAATACATGTTATTATTTGCACACCTCTTTAGGAAATGACGTCAAAGTTATCAACTTACAAGTAAATCTTGATTCCAACGATCTTACCTTATGTAGACTTTAAGATCGAAATTAAACTTTACTATTATTGTACCTATAGACAATGTTTTGGGATATTTCAGAATATGCAATATACTGTCAGTCTCAGTTGTGCGAGCATTTACAGATATTGTTTAATTGCTGTTTCCGTATATAAATGCACAAATAACATGTTTTTGAGACAAAATTTGGAATTAAGTACTACTTTAAACAACAACTTTAAAATTCAAATGAGAGAAGTGCAATATAATCTATTATGATGTGAAATGAAAGGTTTTTTAAATCGGCTTCATGAAAGAAATTGTATTGCACTTTTACGAAACGAAGACTCGAAAACGCCATGCCGGCACGTTTGCTTCTAAACCTTTTTCTACGTCTCTCTTGTAACATATTTTTGATATTTTTTAAATATTAATAATTACGGCACCTGAAAATACCATAAATATCAAGTACTTCTACAATTATTTATGCAAAATTCGAGTATTAAATCAAAAATCTGTTACAATAGAGGCATAGATGTGTCCTTTATCTTTACATCGGCACCTAACAACACGGTATAGAATCCAATTTACTCAAAATGTTATACTAAGTCCCACACCTAGACACGCTATTCGACCCATATAATTTCTATTGAAGCGCTTTCCTAGTCGTATGCAGAGAACGGCTTAAGTTCTCGAGTTTACGGATCGAATAAGAAATTTCAAAGCTATTATGAATTTCCATAGCAAGAGAAAAGACGCAGTCGTCAATCGCATTCAATGGAATGTTTTTTACCGTCAAAAAATAAATCAAGAGAACATACATTTATCATAGGGTCCGTTCACTTAGCCCCCCATTAGCCCAAAAATGAACCAATTTTTTTTATGTATTGTGCCTCAATTGTGCATTTATGCGCACCGTTTGTGCTTTTTTGGTTTTGGAGATAATCGAAAAAATCAAATGGGGGCTAAGTGAACGCTTAGCCCTCCCAAAAATTAAACTTTTTGATAGTTCATCGACGGTATTGCGTAGTACTTCGATTGTGTTTAATCGTGCTTTCATACTCATCGTTTGTGCCTTTTTGGTTTCGGAGATAATAGGAAAAATCAAATGGGGGCTAAGCCTGGGGCTAAGTGAACGCTTAGGTCTCATCAAAAGAAACTGATTTGTACAAACTATAGCTTTTCCGGGCGAGTCATTTTCGAGATCAGAGGGTGGGGGGGTGGAACTGGTTTTATCCTTCATCATGATACTCTAATGAAAAGAGTCTCAACGAATGGAATTAATTTCTACCAACCATAGCCCTCCTCCTCAACCTCTTATCGTGATCAGGTATATTCCCTTATACCTCAAGATCGGATTGTCGGAAGAGGGTACTCACACGAACTTATAAATTAAGATGGACCGCTGATCAAACAGTTGCATAGAGGTAGAAATGGCCCTAGCATGGGCTCCGCCATGATGTGCACATTCTAGTTATTTTCTAGGGGAATTTTCCT